AATTTTAAAGAAAGTAGTTGCGACGAAAGATTGAATGAACTTTGCACTTATATGAATCAATTACCGATTGATACAATTTGTTTATTGCCCACGTGTTATTTGTGCAAGGTTTTGAACACAGCAATGCTCGATAAAATCGACAGCGATGAAATTCTACTGATAGCAGAAGATGATGTCGACTGTGCTCCAGCAATGAAAAAAAAGGTGCATAAAATTTTAGAAGACAAAGATGATAAAGTGTCTGAAACAGCTGGCATTGAAAGAGTAATAGCGATTAAAATTGGCGCTAAAGTGATGATTCGACGAAACATTGACGTAACTTTGGGACTTGTCAATGGAACGATAGGCAATGTAGTTGCAGTTAATCGCTCTGCTGACGGCAATCGTATTGATTCCATCAAAATAGTTATTTCGGGTAACAAAGAAATCGCAATAACGAAAGTAGATATAAATTTGAAGTATTCCACAAATTAGTGGTACATCGGAAACAATTTCCATTGTCTCTCAGTTATGGAATAACTATACACAAAAGTCAAGGAATTACATGTAACAATGCAATGATGGATTTAGGAACGACTGTATTCAGTGATGGTCAAGCCTATGTAGGTTTGTCACGAGTAAGTAAATTGGAAGGCCTACATTTGATAAATTTCAATCCAGCATCAGTTAAAGCAAACTCGAGAGCCATTGTGGAATATAATCGACTGAGATCTATATTCAAATCTGAACTGCCACAAATCAATCGGTCCGAGAAAAAGGTTGTGAAAATGTACGATCGTCGATGGGCTATCCCTAATATCATTGATGATGTGCAGAATTATGATTGTGAGGAACCAGAAAGTATAGTTACGTGGAAAATATATGGCCTTTGCAATAACGATGCTGTTTCGTGTTACGCTAATGTAATATTACAATGTGCGTTTCATTGCGTACGTATTAGGCAACAAATACTGAAAAATAAAGCATCGAATGCATTGACTGATGCTATCTGCGCGTATGGTGAACGTAAATATTGCAACATTCAAGCGGTTAGAAGATCTGTCGGAAAACGCTTCGAAGAACGAACACAACAAGATGTTTCGGAATTTTTTACGGCTCTAATGTCGACGTATTCCGACATCAATGATGTATTAGAACTCGAATTAAAGCACGTAACATGTTGCTCGAATGTCAAATGTAATTACAATGTAACTAAGCTGGAAAGCAGTAGTTTGCTAATATTACCTATACATTCGACATTAAAAAGGAAAAAAGGTGTCACTCTACAAAGTTTGATTAATGTAGAATTTTCTAAATGGGAAACGATAAACGGCAATTGTAACGAATGTAAGGGTACCGTGTTGAAAAGGAAAACCGTAATCGAATCAACTTTATCCGTCGTAGTAATACAGCTCAATTTATATACTTTTGTAAACGGTGCTTCTAAAAAAATTATCAACAATCGGATTAACGCCGTGCCGACGAGTAATATCACGATTAATGAAAAAAAGTACAAGGTAATAAGCGCTATATTTCACGAAGGTGAAGAAATGAATCGTGGTCACTACACGTGTATGTTGAGAGCTGACACAAAATCGGAATGGTATTATTCTAATGATATGGAAGTGTTCAAGAAAAAATGGCCCAAAGGAGCACAAGGGGCATACATATTGTTCTTAGAACAGATTAAATAATGGCGCTGTATAAAGGCTGCCGTAAGCGCCGAAATGAAACATCGGCTGCTCTGGCGCTGTATAAAGGCTGCCGTAAGCGCCGAAATAAAACATCGGCTGCTCTGGCGCTGTATAAAGGCTGCCGTAAACGCTACATTAAAACATCAACTGTTCTAGCGCTGTATAAAAGTTGCCGTAAGCGCCAAAATAAAATATCGGCTGCTCTGGCGCTTTATAAAAGCTGCTGTAAGCGCTGCGTTAAAACGAGTGCAATAAGTTTCTAATTTGACCTAGGCTTCATGACATTTCAAAAAGTATCATCAAGAAAAAAATTATCAGACATAAATATGTATGTCGTGTTAAAATCGGAGAGACGAAGAAAAATATATGGTTGCGTTCTCACGAGAATGGGCGATGGAGGGGCCCATTCTTTATTTTCAATATTCATACAAGAATATAAATTCATTCTGTTGCAATTGAAATAAATGTGCAATGTATCGTTAAAAGTTATTACAATTATACAAACATTTACATATATGATTAAATAAAATATATATGTATACTATAATATAATTATATATTTTATATATGTACATATATACCATATATTTCAATTATTTTGAACTGTATTGCATAAATTGTTACTTATACAAAGTTATGTGATAAGAATCGAAAATACATATATTTGTGATACTTGAATTACTATTAATTTATACATGAATTACTATTATAGAAAGCTGCTCTATATATCTGTACTTTAAAAAGTAAGTGATATCCTAAAAAAATCATAAAAATGAAAAGGTCAGGCCATGTTCAAAAGAAGGCACTCAAAAATTTAAACGATCTAATAATAAATTATCACGAAAAGTAACTGATATGTTATTCAAGGTGCCAGTTCAAAGTGAACATACGTAAAGTGTATATTATCTAAATTTAGTAATAATATATTACCATGAAAAATAACTGTGATATTTTATTCAAGGTGCAAGTTCACATTGAACATACATACATATAAGTAAAACTGATTACAATTTGATTCTAGAAAATAAGTGCGATATGTTATTCTTAGTGCACAAAATATAATAGTCGTTTATAGAGATTTGATTTGAAATTCATACTAGCCCGTACAATGAAAAATAATTGCTCGTAATTCCAGAGTACCAATTTGTTAATTACTCAGAAAAATAACATGGCGGCCTGCTCTCAAAAAACTATGATGTTTCTCGATGTCCATTTAGAAATAATGTCGAAGCTCTTACAGAATAATTACTACAACATTTGAAGTACGAAAAGTATTACATTAGAAGAAGATTAGATTAGAATAAGGATTCAACGTATTTTAAAAGCTCTACACACAACGAAGTGAATATACAAAACTATATACAAATACCTTTTTCTTCTGTGTTTCTGAAGAAAATCTTTTAAATAGAAAATAGTGTCTTGCGATCATGAAGAATAGGTTTTAAATAGCAAGGTTTCATTTGACTTATAATTTTCGATATTATTCACTTAATTAATATGTATTTTTTATTGTATATTACGACAAATAATCAGTAAACTTTTTAAGCGTATAGCTTTATTGTACTTGACCTGAGAACTGTACATTATAAATTTTACTTAATATACACCCGTTTCGAGCAACAAGGCAAAGTTTTCTGATCAATAACTTACTCCCTGAAAATACGGTATAACACAAATCGGAAGTTGATACGAAAATTCGAAATTTTACTAAAGAAAGATTGGAGGTTTTTAATTTATACAATTTTCACAACTCTTATTTCAATTATTTATTCTACCCATCGAAAGTTTTTTGAGAGCAGGCCGCCATGTTATTTTTCTGAGTAATTAACAAATTGGTACTCTGGAATTACGAGCAATTATTTTTCATTGTACGGGCTAGTATGAATTTCAAATCAAATCTCTATAAACGACTATTATATTTTGTGCACTAAGAATAACATATCGCACTTATTTTCTAGAATCAAATTGTAATCAGTTTTACTTATATGTATGTATGTTCAATGTGAACTTGCACCTTGAATAAAATATCACAGTTATTTTTCATGGTAATATATTATTACTAAATTTAGATAATATACACTTTACGTATGTTCACTTTGAACTGGCACCTTGAATAACATATCAGTTACTTTTCGTGATAATTTATTATTAGATCGTTTAAATTTTTGAGTGCCTTCTTTTGAACATGGCCTGACCTTTTCATTTTTATGATTTTTTAGGATATATGTATATACAGGGTGTTCTAATGTCCGACCCGGGTTCTTTACCTTGGAAACGACTTGAGATACGAAAAATGTTTCACAAAAGTTGTAGGGTTTCGAGGAGAACATAAGATCGTACCATTGATTTGACCTTGAATAGTTATGTGAAGGTCACGTGAAGGTTACTTTCAATTTCATAAATGAAACTACCTATTTTTTATTACATATTCTTGTATGTTATTTCAAAAGCTTTACAAAACCCTATACTAAAATATGTTTTTATAGAGTTCTTGTTGAGTTATAAAGGTTTGAAGTAAACCTTTCCGCTCGAGGTGAAAAAATCGCACTTTTTAGGCATCCTCCTTTACGAAAGTTAAAGCAACCACATTTTTCAAAATATTTAAAAAAATTTTTTTAATTAAAAAAATTAGAAATTTTAATTTTGAAAATTAAATTGCATTAAAATCTAAAACATTGTATTTATTTTATTATACTATGTTATATTATATATATATATATATGTGTATATAAACATTTGAAAGAGAAATTATAGTATATTGTGTATCAAGTGCGGAAAGTTGACAATTGGTCACGAGTGCGGGGGATGGACGCACAAGCCGAAGGCGAGTGATACACATACTATTTTGTATTACAAGTGCAGGCAAAGTGGCTTTGTGCGTGTTTTTTGTGCGCGAGGTGGCCGATCGCACGCCGCCATCTTGCGGCGGCACGGTGCGGGAATAGCCGTGTTCAAAGTCATTGTCCTTTGAACGCGGCTCAGCCGTAGGCAATGGCTTTGAACGCGGCTTATTCACTCACCGCGTCGCCGCTAGATGGCGGCGTGGGAAATCGGCCGCTTTCCGCACAGAAACACGCACACAAAGTGCCACTTTGCCTACACGTGTAATACAAAATAATAATAATGATAGATTTTTACACTTATAGAAAATAATTAATTTGCGAATATTAAACATATATATCCTAAATTTTCTTAACGCGATTTTTTTATTTCAATACTTTTTGATGATATTTTAAGTTTTTTCCTTGTATTATTAATAAAGATAAAATATAATTTATAAATAATTTTTAAGAAAAACAATATTTTTAATACCGATTGATTTTTGTAAAGGGCAATTTTGGCTTGCATCAAGTAAATGTCCTTTTTTAATTCAGACGTTCAATTTTTTTTATTATAGGTATTTGAGGAGGAAGGCAGATCCGCGCAAAATGTTGCACCGGAAGCAACACAGGTAGTCATCTAAAGCGTTTTCACTAGGCAGAACTGAGTGCGCATTGGAAACTCGTCGAGTTCAGACAACACGGCCGGAGTGCATTGAAGATGTGAGTTTTTTGCACTCCCAACTAAACACGTCTTGCACTGAACTGACACGATCTCTTGGAGCTCGTGCCGAATTCTCGCACTATAGTGCAAAAACTCGGCACTTAAACTTCCCAGTGAAACAACGCGCACCGTTTTTGCACGCACCGAAACGCCTAGTAAAACACGTTGCCTGCAGCGAGTACGCACTCAGTGCGCACTAGTTCTCCCAGTGAAAAACGCTATTAGTATAAGCTGAAAAAATCTCAAAGAATATTTAATATAAATTAATACAAATTGTCGCTCGTATATTGAAAACAAAGTGATAAATATAAGGCCAACTTATCGAGCTGAATATTCGAGATGTTCAGTCAACTACCATTTATTACATGTATAAATTATAAAACTACAGTTATTATATTAAAACTAACGCAAGTTACAATCATTCTATAAACGTTTCGACCGCACGCGGTCTTCTTCAGTATAATTATTGAAATATAAATTCATACAAATTCACATAATATCGAAATTTAATTATAGTTATTCAGAATCGAGAGTTTTTGAGCAATTAACGCGTGTTCTAATCCGTCCTGTCCAACAATGTTCGCCTCGATATGATCTCTGATTTTGTTCAGATCTCGGATAGTTTCATCGTTAATATGCGAGAAATTAACCCGTTCCATAGGCGCTGCGATTAATAAAAAATTACCGATCAACGTATATCCAAATTATAATATATATCCCCTACACTTGGTAGTATGCTTACCTATCATCGTCCTTCTTGACAATTTTGCCACTTATTAACAGTTATTAAGGATGACACATAACAAACCAACAATACAGAAAGACAGCTCATTTTAAACTCTACTTGATCGGAGAGCGTGCGTGTTTATATATGATCTAATATCTATGTTTGACTCGTTAATGTCCTATTTGTCCTATTATTATTTATTGTTCGCTAATATATCTAAAATATCAAAATACGACTCGCTAAGTAACTCAGTATCTTTGTTTAAATTTAGTCCATTTTTTTGTTCCTTGATATGTAACATCTCAGAATGACTCGGTCAATAAAAAATTCTTTGTCATTCCGTATATAGATAGGATCTCAGAAATGATTGTTTCCTCGGTAAAAAATAAAAATTGTATGGTAGGGTATAGATGTCTCAACAAACTGGATAATATTATTAAAGCACAGAAAGATAAAACTAAACATCCATGCAATTCGAATGTGGTTTATAAGATCAGTTGCAATAATTGTAATGCATCTTATGTAGGCCAAACAAAGAGGCAATTGCAGACGCGAATAAAAGAACATAAAAATAATATTAGGTTGGACTCAACGAAACATTCAGTAATTTCTGAACACATAAGAAATGAACATCATACTTTTAATTGGGACAATGTTAAGATCATGGACAACGAAAATAATTATTATAAAAGACTCATTTCTGAGATGCTACATATCAAGGAACAAAAAAATGGACTAAATTTAAACAAAGATACTGAGTTACTTAGCGAGTCGTATTTTGATATTTTGGATATATTAGCGAACAATAAATAATAATAGGACAAATAGGACATTAACGAGTCAAACATAGATATTAGATCATATATAAACACGCACGCTCTCCGATCAAGTAGAGTTTAAAATGAGCTGTTTTTCTGTATTGTTGGTTTGTTATGTGTCATCCTTAATAACTGTTAATAAGTGGCAAAATTGTCAAGAAGGACGATGATAGGTAAGCATACTACCAAGTGTAGGGGATATATATTATAATTTGGATATACGTTGATCGGTAATTTTTTATTAATCGCAGCGCCTATGGAACGGGTTAATTTCTCGCATATTAACGATGAAACTATCCGAGATCTGAACAAAATCAGAGATCATATCGAGGCGAACATTGTTGGACAGGACGGATTAGAACACGCGTTAATTGCTCAAAAACTCTCGATTCTGAATAACTATAATTAAATTTCGATATTATGTGAATTTGTATGAATTTATATTTCAATAATTATACTGAAGAAGACCGCGTGCGGTCGAAACGTTTATAGAATGATTGTAACTTGCGTTAGTTTTAATATAATGACTGTAGTTTTATAATTTATACATGTAATAAATGGTAGTTGACTGAACATCTCGAATATTCAGCTCGATAAGTTGGCCTAATATTTAATATATTATTATATTTTATTTAAATGTAATATCTATTGTAAAATGTGTCGACAAATTTTAGATTTGTTTTTTTTTTATATTAAGTTGCATAGAATCCACAAGAGATTTAATTTTCGATTAAATTTTTGTGTAATTCGTAGTATCTTTATTAAGATTATTGAACAAACTTGTTAAATTTATATTAATTATTTTATATCTGAGTTGGGTAAGTTAATGATTTTTTAAAACTAAGTTAAGTTAGTTGCTTATAAAATTAATTTAGTTAAAAGTTGCATGAACAAAAAAATTAACTCATTGTCAATTAAAGTTAAGATTAAATTAACTGAAGTTAATTAAAAAGTTAATTTTTAAAGACATTATTTATATTAAATTATAATTTTGTTTGTTAATTCTTTTAAAATTTATAACAAATTTTTATTTTTATATAGAAATATATTTTTGGTAATTACAATTAATGACAAATAAACATAAAAATTAATAATACTTTAATTCAAAAATAATACGTTTATAATCTATGAAAATCAATAATGATATTCAGAAATTTAAAAATTTAACTTAGGAAAAAAGTTTAAAGTCAAAAATAACTATAGTTGAAGTTAAAAATATACATTTTAAATAAACTAACAAGTAAATCCAAGTGTTATACTCCGATTTTTTTCAAAGGCATAAATGTAATACTATCAAAAATATTTGACACGTATATTTTTATTTGTGCTCATAAGCAGTTTTACGGGTAATTCATACACCTTCCATATTCAACTTTCTACCTTTATTAGTAAATAAAATGCATAAAAACAAAATTTAATGCACGATTCATAAGCTTTTTGGATTGCTAATTATAAATGTGAAGTAAAATTTCTAAAATTATTTATTTAAATAACTAAATATATTGAGACATATTTTTCTTTAATATTGAATATATTTATTTCTTTAATATTATAGTACATTATTTTTTATTAAATTTTTTATTTTAGTAAATATAAATTTTTTTGTTTATATTGGGACGTACATTTTATATTTTATGTACAATTATTTCAAAAAACTTACAGAAAAAAATAAAAATATAAAACCAAACAAAAATTTATATTTAATAAAATAAAAAAAAAAAAAAAATATTATATATATATATATATATATAAATAATGTATAAGTATAATTTAAAATATAATTAATATAAATTTAATATTAACAAATATATCTAGTAATTTGATTATAAATTTTTCAGTCTAATTGTAAGAAATGTCTGTCATCGTCAAATATATGTATTATTGCGTGTATAAAATTATTTTTTATTAATTATGATTTCTTCCGATTATAATTTCTTCCTGTTTCTCTTATCCAATATCTGCTATTCCCGAAATTTTAGTTTTAAACTCTATTATTGCAGATGTATCCGTCATTTATTAATTTAAACGAAGATGAAAACAATCACTTACTCCTGGACATGGATTCCTTGGTTCCTAGGCATAATAATTTTTTTGCAAACCGCAGTCATGAATCGACTAAGAAGAAATCTCATATTGGTAATGCACACATTTTTTTCATTTTAAATAAACATATAGAGTAAACATAGTTATAAGGTAATCTTCTGATATTATTGTGTTATTAATCGATCCATCTTTTATGTCGCATAATATGGTTCAAAGAGATTATTTTAAGATTCCAATTAGCAAACTGACGTCATTAAATGTCAAAATGACGTATGCTTACTTCTAGGATGATTATATTTTTCAACAGTTACTTTTTTTCTAAATTTTATGCTCATCATCAATTTTTATAGATACCTAATTTTTTACACTCATCTTTTAGCGATTTGTTATAGAAAATAAAAATAAATAAAGCTTTGTATAAATATAAAATAAGAAAATAATAATAAATAAAAACTAGGCACAAAATTAATATATACAGAATGCTCCATTAAAAAGAAAATATGCTTAATATATAAAATATATTAAAAACATTGCTTTTTAGAAAACAATATATTTCAAAAATTGTTTGGTTTTGAGAGACAAATAAGATGATAATCTTGAATTTTAACTAATAAGATCATTTTCAAAATTATTTAAAAATTAACTTAGTTTTTTTTTAGATAGACCCACATTTTTTTACATAAATCGATTTCTTGCAATATTTGGCATAAAAATGTATAAAATAGAATGGTCAAAAAAATAAATTTACGAGATATTTATAATTTTATGGAAAATAAAATATCTTGTAAAATATTTATTTTTCGATGATCTTGCATCAATATATTTTTATGCACAAAATACTGAGAGGATCCAATTAGTGTAAAAAAACACGATTTTTTTTATATCGCTTATGCGTTCATGAAGGCTCTTTCGCAACAGCTATTCAGTCTGAGTCTGGAATTACCGATTGTAACAAGATAATTGGAGGGGGGTTTCCCGGACTGCTTAACATTGACGTATCGCATTGATTTATGGAAAAGCGCATTTACTTTTAATTAGCATTTAATAGTGTTCGATTGAATCTTTGAAAACAAACACAAATGATTTTAAAATTAGCTAGATAAAGATGAGATAAAAAATACATAAATTTATCTTACATAAGATAAAGATGATTTTGCTTTATGTATATCTAGATAAATGATAAAATTATATGGAGATTCATCTAAATAATTTTCAGATAATATTTTTAATTTTGCTTATGTAAAGAGTTATGAAAAAATGTAATTATAAAAGAAATATACAAAATATATTCATATTTTATTTATTATAAGTTTTTATCGCTTATTGATTAAATTCGACTACTTAAGTATTTTTATATTCTACGATTCTAAATCAAATAATTATCTGAAAATTATTTTAGGTAATTTAGTAAAGATAAAACTTTTTTTCATCTAAGATGCAGATGTAGATAACACATATTTTTATTATCTATATAAACAGTGTTTACTGTTATCTAAATAAAATTATGTAAATGATTATCTGATTAGCCTTTTAATTTTGACATAATTATGTAATTTATTTTGACATTGTATGGCGACTTTTATTAGAATTTTTATTTATATTTATTTATTTATTATAATGTTTTTTGCGCACTGAAGAAGACTGAGTACAGTTCAAAACGTTTGTAATTGGTTTTTTTAAATTAAAGTTTTTCCAAGATTTATAATAATTTTTTATTTGCTCGTTACACATGGCCTCGTAATATTTAATAAGTTATCATTGAATAAGAATAAGAAATAGAAAATATCCACCAATAAGAGCAGAGAATAATATCTATCTCCTTTTCCGATTGGTTGATATTTTCTATTTCTTATTCCTATTGCTTGTTGCTTGACATTGTGCAAGGGCCTATATTATATATAAAGATAAGATAATGTCAAAGTTTCATCTAGATGATCATCTATATAATTTTATTTAGACAACAGCAAACACTGCACAAGTCACACACAAGATCGACACATATCCGCTTTAAATAAAAAGAAATGAATGAATTATAGGTAAGGAAATATACAACAGGGAGATGGATGGCACTGGATGGCCAGACAAACCCATCAGAAACTGGTGTCAAGAGGAAACAATGGAATGGTTTATGTCAGCCGCGGCGTATTTAGGTCAACAATTTAGTTCTTTTCACAGCTTTGCTGTGTCGGGGGAGGAACTCGTAACTTTCACGCGACAAGATTTTATTAATCACGAACCGCTGTACGGGGACCAATTGTACGATCTTCTTCACTCACAACGAACATCGAATATGCGTACGTACGTGAATTATATGAAAAATGTGTTGCATTTAGATAATTTAAAAATTAGCTACATAAAGATGAAATGAAAATATGTAAATTCATCTTAGATAAGATGATGATTTTATTTTAATCTAGATAAAAAAATAAAGATACAATTTTATCTAGATAAAAGATATGCAGGGTGTCCTATTTTAATGTCCCACCCCAAATAATTTTTTTAATTTTTGATTGTATAAGATACATAAGATGGTGCCATTAGTTTAACTTTAAATAGCTTGAAGGTCACTTAAATGGAACCATCTATTTTTCATTGTATATATTTTTGTAGCTTTCTAAAACTCTATAATAAAGTATTTTTTCATTAAGGGGATCCTAAACGTCCTTGTAAAGTCTGTGGTTTCCGTCCTGTTTTATCGACAAAATGTGAGGTTAGATAAACTATAAATCTATTTATTGACTGTATAGATTGTTTTTTACCTTAAATTAGAGCACTTCGCAATTTGTTAATATTAATACTATAATTTGTACAGGAAAATAATTTATCAATTTGTATAGTTTCATATATCTAAGTTACAAAATTATGAATTCTTTTTCTTCATAATTATGCAACCTAGATATATATGAGATTATACAGATTGATAAATTATTTTCTTATACAAATTAAAGTATTAATATTAACAAATTGCGAAGCGCTCTAATTTAAGGTAAAAACCAACAGTATAGCCAATAAATAAATTTGTAGTTTATCTAACCTCACATTTTGCCGATAAAACAAGACGGAAACCGTAGACTTCTTTCTCAAGGTCATTTAGAATCCCTTAAGTACTTTTTGAGTTATAAAGGTTCAAAGTTAACAATTTTTTGACATAAAGTGTAAAATATCTTGTAAAATATTCAGTTTTTGGTAATTATACCTTATGTTTTCTTCTACAATCAAAAATAAAGTTATTTAGAGTGGGGCATTAAAGTGGGACACCTTGTACAGATAAAAGATATCTAGATAAAAGATTTTTTTTAACAATCATCATGTTTTTATACATTACATGGATATAGTGCATAATAGATATAATAACGCGTAAAAACAAATGTCGAATATATTATAAACTCAAAATATCGATTTGTTTAAGCAGGACCATCATTCGATTCTTGTTCTATTCCAATACAAGAGGATGAATATGCACCAATTATTTCAAGCAATATATCTGGTAAGTAATTTAAAAGATGTCTATAATATATGAAAATTTACATAAATACAGATTTGTATTTGTGTTGTGGCGAGGGGGTATCGGGTGGTCGTGCACGCTGCGTCGCCGAAATTCGCCTGAGGCAAAGAGTAGGCGTAACGCAGGTTTGAGTCCATCCAGACCCAGGAGAGGTTTTATGAGAAAAAATTTAGTCGTACGGTGGCTGTGCATACTGCATCGCCGAAGCTCGCTTGAAGCGAATAGTTAAGGTGAAACGCAGACTCGAACCCACCCAGACTGCGTCTGGGTATAAGGTTTATATGTATAGGTTAAAGTATATATATAATATATAAGGCATATGTATAAAGCAAGAAGAACAGGAGACCGAACTCCAGGGGGTGAGTCAAAATATGGTTTCATTTCATGGGCCCTGTTCGCGGTATGGTCGTCGGCCAATTCATGAACTACAGCGTGCTGGATTTCGCTTGTTTGATAAAAAAAAAGGTTTCCTATGTGAACTTCGTCGTTACTAAGTATCGTATATTATTTATTAATACTTACAACACCAAAATTTACATTCTGCCAAGATGCCAAGTTTATGTTCTTGATTATATTGCACGAAACTTCGAAGTCCAGCACGCTGTAGTTCATGAATTGGCCGGCGACTATACCGCAAACAGCGCCCATGAAATGAGACCATATTTTGACTTACCCCCACCACTGAATTCTAAGGAGTTCGGTCTTCTGTTCTCTAGTCTTCTTGGTATAAAGGATGAAAATGAAAATATATATAGTCTCCTTATGTGAAGCTGGGGACTTTAAACAAAAGTAGTCTACTATTTGTATGTGGCGATATATGCCATAAGCCCGCGAAGTTTTTAGAAAACGAAATAAATAAAAACAAAATAAATATAACGCATTCAAATCGAGAAGAAAAAGATAGATTTAGCGACCAGTAAAGCTAAAATAAATAAGGCAAGCAAACAAAAATCATAAATTCGAGAGACAAAAGGGAACAAAGATAGAGAAAACACGATGTTTTTGGATAGGTCGTCCAGTGAGAAGCCGATGAAATAAGCAGAGTCGCTCGATAGCTCGCGTGAAGAACAGACTTATTATAATCGCGTTCGGTAAAGATATATTATACTCGCATCCGAAATAAGAACTTGTAAAGGCGACGGTAATAAATCAAGTGTTATATTTTATTCTTGACAAACTAATATTAATTTATTTCAAAGTGATTTATTAAAATCCGACCTGACTGGGTAATACAAAAAATATTGAACACAACGTTTCGGCCCTAGGATACGGGCCCTTATCAGTGTTGCTATAAAATTTAAAAAATAGACAAAGATAAAGAATTAGAAAAAACAAAAATAATAAACATTGAAAATGCGGAATAAAACAAAATTAAATCGAGATAAAAACTTTTTCGTTACATATCATAACCACGAGTTAAACGTTACCTTTCATGATGTTAAAGCGAAAGACATGATAACAGTAAAGTCAAAAACCATAGAACAATATTTTATATTAGCAAGTGACGCGTGTAACTTAACAAATATTAAAAAGACAATCATAAGAACTTTTATAGAAAAACAAACAGATCATACACTATGTATTATATTAGTGAATCATATATATATTAGTGAGTCATATATTTCGATTTTCTGTGTCCTTTTGCAAATTAATATTGCTATTAAATTTTTGAATAAAAGACATCTCAGTTATCTCTCTTTTCATTCTGTGTTTTTCAACGTGAAAGATTTTCGGTTCTCTCCAATTAAAATCATGTCCATGTAGAATGCGATGATAGAACGACAAAAACGACTGCATGGATTCGGTACTTAACATTGTTAAAAATGTCGAAGTCAATAGGTATTCAAAAAATTCCTAACAATCTAAGAGAATCTACTAGAGCTTCTGTTTCGAATTCTTTAAAAAATGTTTAAATAAAAACATCAATGCCATAGATAGGTCTCTTCTTAATGGTTTCTCTCAATACAAAAAGTTTTTAAAACATAATGACGACTTATTTATTACAAAGGCTGACAAAGGACAAGTGACTGTAGTTATGGATAAAATAAAATACATTAATACCATGAACGAATTATTTACTGACTAAACAACTTGAAAAATACTGTGGTCTCCCCAAATGTTACGGATTATTAAAGGTACACAAAAAAGACCATCCTTTACATATTATTGTTTCGTCGGTTAGTAGCCCACCATATAATCTAACATTGTTTCAACATGAATTTTTACATAATTCTATCCCAAAGCCTGGATCGTATATCAAGGGTAGCTGGACATTTAATCAAACACACTAAGATTCTAGATAACCATATTTTATTTTCACTGGACGTAACATCGTTATTTACGAATATCCCGAAAGACTTGGCTTTGAGAGCAGTGGAAAAAAAAGTAGAATTATATTACACAGAATACTGACCTTTCTCTACAACAATTCCTACACGCACTTAAAGTTGTTCTTGATTTAACGAGCTTCAGTGACGGGAATTACTACGAACAAATCTTTGGTTGTCCGATGGGGTCCCCTTTGTCTCCAATCTTGGCTCACTTGGTCATAGACAATTTAGAATCGCATTATCTAAGCACATTATATTTTAGTATACCTGTATACTACAGATACGTTGACAATTTTGCAATAGCGACAAAGTTCGAAATTACGGAAATACTTAATGTTTTTAATTGTTATCAGCGCATAAAGTTCACGCATAAGATTGGAATCGATAATTCTATCAATTTTTTATGTGTGTGAAGTTAGCCCCGCACTTTTCGAATTTTGAATTTTTCTTGATTGTGCTGCATTGTGCTCTGTTTGTGCTATATTGTGCCGCAAACGCCAACTCTCTGACTCAAAGCATATTCAAAAAAAAAATCAAAATTTTTTTGCCCTGCACTTTTCGAATTTTGAATTTTTCTTGATTGTGCTGCATTGTGCTCCGTTTGTACTGTATTGTGCCACAAACGACAACTCTCTAACTCAAAGCATATTCAAGAAAAAATCAAAATTTTTTGCTAGCCCCGCACTTTTCAAATTTTGAATTTTTCTTGATTGTGCATAACAGTAAGATTTGTTTTTTTAATCTTTGTAATCTTTTTTTAATCTATCTTTGTGAATTTTTTTATCGAAATAAAATAAGATATTAAAATTTTTTCAACGGCACATAATGGCACAAGTTAGGACCAATTTAGGAAAAAATCGTGAGCTTAATCGTAAAAAAGTGCGGGACTACTATAATTTTATTAATATTTTTTTTATTGTTATTAGTGTTATTGGTCTCGCGTTTGCGGCACAAGTTAACACAATTGTAGCACGATATGGCACAATCAAGAAAAATTCGAAAAGTGCGGGGCTAGCAAAAAATATTGTTTTTTTCTTCAGTATGCTTTGAGTTAGAGAGTTGCCGTTTACGGCACAAGTTAGCACAATATGGCACAATCAAAAAAAGTCAAAATTCGAAAAGTGCGGGGCTAGCAAAAAATTTAGTTTTTTCTCTTGAATATGCTTTGAGTTAGAGAGTTGCCGTTTGCGGCACAATGTAGCACAAACGGAGCACAAGTCAGCACAATCAAGAAAAATTCAAAATTCGAAAAGTGCGGGGCTAGCAAAAAAGTTTTGATTTTTTTTCTTGAATACACTTTGAGTTAGAGTTGCCGTTTGTGGCACAATACAGCACAAGCAGAGCACAATGCAGCACAATCAAGAAAAATTCGAAAAGTACGGGGCTAACTTCACATACATCAATTTTTTAAACACTACCGTCATGAATTTGGAGGGAACTCTGTTGACTAATTGATTTCGAAAACCTGCTTTCTCTGGCAGATATCTGAATTTTTATTCGAGCTACCCTCTTACTTATAAGATCAACACCATAAAAAGTTTAGTAGATCGGTTGGTCAACAACGGCTTGCCGAAATATTTTAGAGTCACAAATATATAAGAGAATTTGAACATTAAAGTGTCGAAACGCCTCTTGTTCTAATGCCAAAGTTCATCATAGAAAGTTTGACACAGCATCAATTTTACCTTTGCCATATATAAAATATCTAAGTGAAATATCTGTCTCAATAAGTGTGGTCTTGACGTGGTATATATTCCTAAAAAACTAAATAATTTAATTAAAAAGGTAAAGACAGGACTGATGCTTCTTGTAAGATGAAAGTCGTATATAGGATTGACTATAACGATTGTGATGTAACTTATACTAGTCAAACTAAAAGACAACTAGTCACGCGTGTAAATGAACATTGCAGAGACATAAAAAAAACATTCCAGCAATCATGGTGTAATTAGCAAACATCGCATTCTACATGGACATAATTTTAATTGGAGAGAACCGAAAATCTTCCACGTTGAAAAACAAAATGAAAAGAGAGATAATTGAGATGTTTTTATTAAAAAATTTGATAGCAATATTAATTTGCAAAAGGACACAGAAAATTTAAATCCAATATATGACTCACTAATACATAGCGTATGATCTGTTTATTTTTCTAAAAATTCTTACATACAATTGTCTTTTTAATGTTTGTTTAATTTACACACGTCACTTGTTTTTTACTTTACTGTTATCGTCTTTCGCTTTAACATCTTGAAAGGTAACGTTTAATTCGTGGTTATATGTAACGAAAAAGTTTTTATCTCGATTTAATTTGTCTTATTCCGCATTTTCAATGTTCGTTATTTTTGTTTTTTCTAATTCTTTGTCTATTTTTTAAATTTTATAGTAACACTTGATAAGGGCCTGTATCCTAGGGCCGAAACGTTGTGTTCAACATTTTTGGTATTGGCCAGTCAGGTCGGATTTTAATAAATAACTTTGAAATTTATTCATCACTGGCGACTTTATTCTAATCATTTGAGATATTAATTTATTTATTTATTGACATTACATTCTCCTCTCCCGCATATCATAATGCACATCGCCAAAGTATCAATTATCATATTTTTTATCTATCAACATTTTTTTTCAGATGCAGAATCGGATAATAGCGTCGAAATCAAAACGAAAAGATTGCCTGGCAGACCAAGGGTATTGAAACTCAAAAAGAATCGTAAGTATCATACAAAATATACTGGGTATCTCATTTTACAAAATCCATACAAATATCTCTCGAATGCATTTTAGAGAAAAATGTTTCAGACAAAAATTATAGGATTTAAAGGAGGAAAGAAGTTAATGCTGCTGACCTAAACGCACTTTTCAAAGTCATTTGAAGGACTTTTTTACATAGAACCACCATAATTTTTTTCTGAATCAATACCTCGCAATTTTGGGCATAAAAAGTTACAAGGGTAAGATGATCAAAAAATTAATAGTTTACGAAATATATATGATACTTTAAATTTGACATAATTTTATGTAAATTATAAAATATCTCATAAACTATTCATTTTTTATCATTTTAACTTTATAACTTTTTATAGTGATTATATTATAAGAAATCAATTTATATTAAGGAGATCCCCCCCTCTCGATTTCTGTTTTAACGACGCAGTCGTATTTTCATACTTCTAGTATATCTTTTTTTTAATTTGATAGAATGAAAAATGCTTCTCTACGATTGCAATACATGCATCAATAATCTTAGGGAAATTCGATTTGATATAAAAAATGAGAATAACAGTTTTTCTTAACTATTTTTATTTCGATTTGACATCTCGAATTGGAGACGAACTGTCAATTTCATTATAATATGTGCTTTATATAAAACATATGCACTTTGTATGAATAAAAATGCACATTCCCTGGGATTAGAAAACACGAAAGAAAGGACTGTTGTCCTCTAAACCTAGATTAGAAGTCTAATAAAAATTTGTAATTAGAAATATGATTCGTACGTATGTGTGCGTGCATTGTGTATACGTGCATATGTGTGCTGCTATTTTGTCGGAGTTCGTCATTTGCTGAGGGATAATGACTTTCAAATGATCTTGATAATTGACTTTTAAGAAAAAGCTCCCAACTTTTTTCCTCCTCGAAATCCTGTAACTTTTGTCTGAAACATTTTTCTTAAATAAAATACATTGTTCAAAAGAAACATTTTTGTGGACTTTTTTTTTAAATGGAATATCCTGTATATATTTTTTGTAATGCACATGTATTATATATCGATTTAATTATATAGCTGCCACTCAAGGAAAATTGTGGGAATTTATTAGAGATTTACTACGTAGTAGAGAAACATGTCCCAGTTTAATCTGTTGGGAAGACTATTCGCAAGCTAAATTTCGCTTTGTAAAAAGTGACGAGGTAGCAAAACGATGGGGTTCACGGAAAGGAAACACAAAAATGACTTATGAAAAACTTAGCAGAGCCATGAGGTAACAGTAATATTTTTTAGAATATGTGTATGCTAGAAAATAATTTTTAATTATATTTGTATAGATTAATAATATCCATTAAGAATTAATTATAAGAATTAATTTTTAAATAACTTTCAATTGATATTCTTATAGATTATATTAAATAAAAATTAATTATATTTATTAAATTAATTATAGATATTATTACAAAAGCAAGATATTTCAACCGGTGCTAGGTCGAAGATTGGTGTATCAATTTGGACCAAATGCAAAAGGTTGGCAAACGGATAATCCGAATTTTCGAAATTGAAACCGACTTCGTTAAGAACGAGTTTATAATATAATGGAATGCGTGTATATGAAATACAAAAATAATAATAACGTGGAAAGTCGTGAATATTTCGCACATAATGTTCTCCAAAATGTTAAAGATAATCGTATTTGATTTTATTAACCAAAATGGACCTATTAATAGGTCTATACTCAAATCAGCTAGTTAATAACATGTTATATATGCAGTTAATAGTTTATATGCTTCTCTAAGTAGTGTTATAAATATGCTTCCATATTTTTTTACACAACATAAAAACATAATAACATAAAATACTTTGTATCAATCGAAAAAAAAACAAAGAATATAATTATTATTAAAAAAGATAAATGAATAATTTCATAAATAAAACCACGAAGAAAACAACCTTATATAAAAATGTAAAAAAATTGGTTATATTGTAATGTTTATTGTGTTTATATATCTGGTGTATATTTTTTATATATAATAAAAAAACTCTTATTCTTACTTTTTATCATTATATTCTTATGTAATAAATTTTCAGAAATAGCTTAACAAACATAAGTTTATAATACATTTTTAAAACATTCTAATACAAGTTTGTTACGTTTATAATAATTTAAAAATTGTATTCTAAGTTTTATCTTTATAAAAAATAAAATTAAAATATTTTTTCAAAGAACAATTATTTTCGTCTTTTTTTCATTGTCGATGAAAAGTTTGACATTACTTTTCTCTTCCGGGGCTACAAGAAATAAATATTTATCAAAATATATTTTCTTTCGAAATATGTTTCTTTCTGTGGAAGCACATATAAATCGAATAATCAGAAAAAATGTAGGGGAGACCGAGGCGAAATCGTCACCGGGGCGAAGTCGTCATTACAGTTATCTCAAAATCTATATGTTATGTGAACTCGTTGTTAATATTATAAACACTATTTATGATGTCCATGTGACCAACAAAATTTAGTGAAGTTATATGTCATGTTGTGATTTTGATTACAACAAACGTATTTTTAGTAGTCAAAAGTGAAATTTTATACGCATCAAAAATTTTTAATATTAAAATTTTTTTTAAATCTGTAGGTAAGTGATTTTAAAGAGTAATGTTTGCTGAACAGAAATCCAGTGCAGTTGTTTTATTTTTGTTTATTTCTAATATTTTATGAGCGATTAACCTTGAAATCTGTGTCTGGAGTGAAATCGTCACAAAGTTACCGGGGTGAAATCGTCACCAAGTCACAGCGACTTTATCCGGATGACTTTCCGTTGCAAATGTCATTGTTTTTTTCAATTGCAAAAACAGGTACGCACGTATTATCGCAAAACGACTCCTGTCGACAAGTAGCAACTGAGGAAAGCAGTTCTTGGGGTAAAAAATGATTTTAAAAAATGATGATTGAGATAAAATGAAAAATTCAAACAGCCGCAAAACAATAATATGGAGTCCCGAAAACTACGTTAAACGACTGGCTAAAGAATAATAATAATAATAAAGTAGCACAATTAAAAAATAAATAACTAGAATACAGAATCTATTGCTGAAAGAGCCAATATAGAGATACAAATCGAGATTTATAAGTTCCTCTTTCCTCCTAACAAACTCGCTAAAATTTCCTAAAATTAATATAGACGAGAAATATATTGGCTCTTTCAGCAATAGATTCTGTATTCTAGTTATTTACAATGAGAGCGATCTAGCCACATCATTCGTTAAAAAATAAATAAATAAATGTTTAAATTTAATAAATGTTAAAATTTTTCTATTAAAAAATAATTAATAAAATATATTTTATTGTTTTTTATGATCAAAATTACGTATTTTCGTTTAAAATCTATTCTAAGAAGAAAGTGACGACTTCGCCCCAGGGGGGCGACGCCTCGGCAATTTTGAAAATTCAATTTTTACACCTTTGCCATTTTTACTCTATACCGATTGAACAAAGTGATGTAGACCAAAAATACCCCAAAAAACATTATAGTCAAGGATTCATACTTTACAACGGTACACTACATTTCATTAAAATTATTTATTTTCTTGTTAAAAACCGGCATCAAAAAAAGGTGACGACTTCGCCCTGGTCTCCCCTATATATGATAGCGTAAAAATATCTAATACAATTACCTTGGTTTGTGAATCCTGATCTTCCTCTCTAGTTTTATCATCCTTCGCAGATGTATTATTTTCGTTGATATACTGGAAAACAAAATTTCTTGCGTTTATTGCATGAGAAACAGAGTCACCTTGTTTCGCCAATGAAGCTATCTTTGCTAACGACTCTTCTCCTCGAGTTAAGAGCGAACGTTTTTTTATAACATTCTGCAAAATAAATATAAGCATATGTAAAAATAAATTTATTCTGGATTTATTCTGTTAGATTGCGACGTCAGAGGTGAAAAAACACTGAAAATTCTAAGAATTTTTAGCGTGTTTTCCAAGAATCTTAATTAATTAATATCAATTTTTTATAATTAACCTTACATATATCATCTGAGATTTCTTTTCAGTATTTGGCCCATTTAATAAATCTGTTATATTTCGCGGCATAATCGGTTCCATATTTTCGGATGAATCCACTTTGTCATAAGAAGCGGATGATTCTCGACATTCATTATTCTTAATTTTTTAAGTGCTTCCAGTCCAAATTTGAAAATTTGACTATCGCATAACTCATCTTCAATTTCGTTATTTGAAGATTTCTGTAAATAACATATATTTATAAGTAAACACATTCTTTTTATATATATAATAATAATATAATAACTAAATATATAATATATAATAATAATATAATAACTAATTATACAATTTTTATATAATATAGGTATATGTGTGGGTTTGTATAAATTTTATTTACCATCCTTTCTTCAAGAAACTTGTCTCTTTCTTGCCTAAGCTTACTCCACTTTACCTCTTCCTCGTCTTCTTGTACATCTACCCAGCCTTCGTTCTCAGATGTTTGTGATATTTCAGTATTACCTCCCAATTTATCTGATAACAATTATATTAAATTATTATAAACGTATATACGCATTGCATATCAAATTTAAAAAATTTGAATTTTGTAAAATATTTTTAGATACAAATTTTTTTCTAACAATCATCTGTTATATGCAAAAAATTGCAATAATTATCTAGTAAAGGGAAAAATCGATTATACATTAGATAAAATGAAGATGATTTTGTTTTAAATATATATCTAGATAACAAATAAAATTATATGGCGATTCATCTAAATAACTAAATAACATGCTTTTATTTATAAGTTCTTATTGTTTACTACTTAAGTATTTTTATATGCTATATAATTCTAAACCACATTATCTGAACACATTTATTCTATTTATACCTTTCTCATTTATTATCTTTATATGTATAATTCTTGTTATTCTTATTATCTTATTCTCTTATCTTTATATAAATAATAAGAATATTATTTTATCTTTATATACAGGGTATACTGAAATTTTATAAATAAATTCCATGATTTTCCAGGTGTATTTTTGTTCAAAATTCCAAGTAAAATTAAAATATTAAAAAAATTTCTAAATACAATTTTAAATTAAATATATTTTTGTTATGCATAATTTTTTAATAGAAATAAAATATTTTTTAATATAATATTCTATAATAAAATATATTTTAAAATACTTTATATAAACCTAATAAATTTTATAATATATTCTTTAAAAGTATATTTGAAAGTAAAATCAAAGGGGCAATTTTTTAAAACATTCCCTAAGTTCAAAATAAATTCCGAGTATTCCAGGTTTTTCCAGGAAATATACACTCTGTACATAATAATAAGAATATGTATATTCTTTTCTATTATCTTATCTTTATATAGATTATAAAAATATAATATAAAACATAAGATAACGCCAAAATTTCATCCAAATGATCATCTAAGATGCAGATATAAATAATACATATTTTTATTTATATAAAGATAAGATAGTGCTAAAATTTAATCTAGATAAGCATGTAAGATGCAGATATAGATAATACGCCAAAATTTCATCTAAATAATCATCTATAAAATTCTATTTAGATAAAACACTGCTTATTACCTATATTTCTCCACTTGAACTTGCGCTCGCGACCCATTCCATCAACATGCAAATCTCCATCCTCGAACAACAACTCTTGAAGCAATCTGACTTCCCTTTTATCCTCATCCAGCATTTCCTTCATGTATTTTTTATGAATTTTGTCCAGTTGGTCTTTCATCTCATGTTCATCCATATCCTCGTCATCTCCTTCTTCATATTCTAATTTATCCAAATCCTTCTCGTCTTCATCAGCAGAATCCCAATCGCTTTCGCTCAATTCGGCCTCTTTCTCCAAAAAGTCAGCCGCGACTTTCTTAATATCTTTCTCCGGCACAATTATCATCTCGTTTTCCTCGGAATCGTAATCTACATATTCTTCCTCTGCCTCCTCATCTTCATTATCTTCATCACCTTCATCATCTTCCTCCGAATCAGATAAATGCAGCCTCTTCACTGAACGCTTTCTGGGTTTCAAAAATGTATCCTTTTCTTCCAATTGAGCATCATCATCATCATCTGAAGAAACAATCTTCATTTTTAACTTCGAAATCTCATCCAATCGATCATCATCATCATCATCATCATTATCCGATGAAGAAGCTATCTTCATTTTTAACTTTGAAACGACAGCTTGTCCCATCTTTGCAGAATTGTTGGAATCTTTATCCAATATCAGTCTTACATCTTGGGAGTTTTCATTCTCCTCTTCTAGATTTTTCAACTGTTCGATGGATTTCATATTTTCTGAACACAATCGTGATTCGCTGCTAGTCTGAGACGAGAATAAATCCAAATCGGTTCTCTGCGTCGATTCAAATTTACCCGAGCACAATCGCATGAGATATTCGTCATCGACAGTTTCTTTACTGTCGTCGAATAATTTCTTCTTTAAAATGTGATTGTTCCTGTCGTCGAATTCTAAGAATCCGTCGCTTTGTGTATTTTCCAAGACGGATTTCTGATTGTTCATCAGATATCCTTTCCTTTCCTTATCCTTACTATTGGAATCCAACGTAGTGTTTAGCACACTTAATTGCGTTATAGGAGAGACAAAGTCGAGCATACTTTTCTTCGTCAAAGGCATCTTACATGTTCGACTTCTGGCAACAATCTGTTGCTCGGCAGACACATCGCTTTTATCTTCATCTTTATTTTTATACCGTGTCTCAGATCTATTTACATCCAAATTAATGTCCTTTAATTGATCACTTTCTGAACAGCTCGGATTTATAACGCTTGAATCATTCTGAGACTCTTTTTTCTTTTTATCTTTTTGATTCTCGATGGTACCAACGTTTTTACAAACATTAACATCATCTTCAGATTCGCTTCCATTTTCTATATCTTTGTCTAAATCCAGCACATCATCTTCTTCCTGATCAGTCTCTATTATATCATTCTTGCGAGTCTTCTCTGCATCATCCTCCGAATCTTCATTGTCTGTAACTTCAGCTTCGTCATCAGCGAACAAACACTTGTTCCTCTTTTTGTCCTTAATATAAATATCATCCTCTTCGGGTTCGCTTTCTCCGCTGTCACTTAATTCAGAATCCTGATCTTCTTCCCCATCTAAATCATAATCAGCTTCTTCTTCTTCTTCTTCCCTTTCTTTCTCCTCCTTTTCTTGCAGTTCTATTTCTTTATGTTTCCATTCTTTATTACGTTTTATAGTCATTTGTAGCTTTAAATCTTCCTTTAAACGCATCAACTTGGCCCCAGGCTTACTCAATTCAGGATTATCAGTGCTGGCGGGTAAATTATATGGAAGTGATGATTCCTTAATCGGAGAACTGTTTGAAGTATTTTGCAAGTGTACTTCAGTTTCTTCAGCCTTATCGTTAGACTGTTTTTTTGCGTTAAGAACGTGTTTACAAAAAAATCTATCTAATAAAGTATTTACACCTTTTCCATATGATTTCTCGTCATATGTCAGATCAATAATCATACCTGGTGACCCTTTTAACATAACTGTAGAATTTGACGTCAATTTTGGTAATAATTTTTTTCTATCAATTACAGGTTCATCCACGAATTTCGAAAATGGCAAATCAAGTGCCTGATTATCAGAGTCTTTACATTCCTCTGTTGAATCATTTCTAATTTTTGATAGAACGTCGTCGATGAAATTAGTAATAGTGAGTGATGATGTTATATCTGTTCCATCATCTTGTATTATAATATCAGAATTTACAGATGTAACATTCCTTTCCTCATCATTTATGTTACTGGAGATTTCTTCCATTGTTTCTGCAGTCAAATTTTTATCTCCATCTATGTCAATTGCTTCAGAATCACATTCTGATGTTTCTGATACATGATTCTCTGCCATACTAAATTCTGATTTCTTCTTATCATTAATAATTGTTTCCTTTTCCAAGGAAGTAATAAGAGTTTCAACTCTTCCTTTCACTGTGTCTTGTTTCTTAAGACTTGTATGAAAATCTTCATTTGTCTCATCTTCAAAACATGTTTCAAACAATTTTCTTGACACCCCAGACTTTTGATTCTGCTTACATGCATCATCTGTTTGTTGCGATACTGTATCGGATGCATCATCATAAATTCTGTTATTTTCAGTTAGAAGAGATGATTCTTTATCTTGATGATTTACTTTGTTGAAATCTGTTTCAGATATAATAGATGTGTCAAGAGATATATCATCTTGTATAATCTTTGTTTCATTATAAGCTTGATGGTTTGTACCAATCTTTTGAGAATCTTGTGTATTTTTGATATCTATCAATGGTATCTTCTCATGCGTAGTAGAAGACTTTTTTATATTTCTAGCATCAAAAGATGTAGACTCATCTTCTGAATCTGAAGATTTGTAAAAGAGTTCTGCTTCTTTTTCTTTTTCCGTAAGGACCTGGCTGTTTAAAATTATATGTAAAAATTATTTATTTTGTATTTGAAGTTCTATTTTATAAAATGTATGCATATGTATATATATATATATAAATACAGGGTGTCCTATTTTAATTTATTACCCTCATAAACTTTTTATTTTTGATTGTATACCAAAATGCTTCAAATAAAAGTTGTTTGATTTGAAGAGAAACCTCCTAAGTCTCAAATTAAAAGTTATTAAATTGTATTTAAGCAAAATATATAATTTTGTTCTTTAATGTTACAAAATTTAGTACACTAAAAAGGCTTTTTTTCAAGCTTATAACATGATAATTATTAACGCTTCAACATCTTTACTAAAAAAAAAAAAATCATTTAAACTGACGAGAATTTACAATTAAAAGCATATACTCTTGAAATAATTTATGCATGGTTGGGTAATAATTAGATAATTAGTTAAAAGTTAGAAAGTTAATAACTTTTAACGTAGCTAATTAATTTAGAATGTATTAATTTTTAACTTTAACTAGTTATTTTTAAGCTTAAACTTATTAACTTTTTTTTCTAAATTAAATTTTTTAAATCTCCGAATACCATTATTTTATTATAAGTTATATAAAAACGTATAATTTTTAAATTAAGATATTATTAATTTTTATGTTCATTTGTCATCAATTGTAATTACCAAAAAATATATTTCTATTTAAAAATCAAAATTTCTTTGTTATTTGTTATTATAAATTTTAAAAGAATTAACAAACAAAATTCTAATTTAATATAAATTTTTTAATATAAAAATTAACGTTTGATTCACACTTCAGGTAATTTAATCTTAATTAAGTTAATTTTATAAGCAACTAATTTTAACTTAACTTAGTAACAAAAAATTATTAACTACCCAACCTTGATCTTATGTATATATAAAAATGTATATATAAAATATGTATATAAAATTATATATATAATATATATATATACATATATATATATATATATATATGTAATAAAAGATGTATAAAAACTTACTTTACTATTGTGGATGACATTTTCAGTTTTGCAGCTGTTGAGGATGCCTTTGGAAGAGATGTTAATATTTTTTTTCTATTCAAAAATTCCTGTAAAGTACGCTGTTTTGGTCTGTGATATGGCAAAGAAATTTCTGTTTCTCTTAATAATCGTTGAGATTCACTATGTATCTGACGCATCGCTTCATCTTTGGAAGCTCTGATAGAACCCTATTTTATGAAATCAAAAATTTTATATTAATTTTAAAGATTTTGTTTTACATTAAATATTAGTTTTACATTAAATAGTTTTTTTTAAACTTATTAAGACTATAGAAATTAGACTAAAGAAAAAGTTGCATCTAAACCTTTCTCTTTTTAACAGATTCTTTTTTACTACTTCTATTCTCAGATATGTCTTGAACTTTTTCAATAATGGAATCCTGTGTTTCCTTTTTTTCCCCCTCATTTCAGAATCCGTTGAAGATTGGTAGCTATTATATATAATCTATAAAATAAAAATATAATTTAAAATAATTTTTATATAATAAAATTATAATAAATTATAATTGTATTTATACAAAGAATTCATAAAAAAATATAAGATAAATAAAAGAATTGTAATTATAATAATTTGTAATTTCATTATAAAACAATAAAAAATTATATAAAAATATAGTAATAAAAGATACACTTGTGCTTACAGAAATACTTACAGTTTTATGAACAATTTGAGAATTATTAGTTTTGCTTATTGATGTGCCGTCAGATTCACTGTCTATTATTCTTCTTTTATTTTCAAGATTCTTTTTATAATTTGTAATTTTTGAACGTTTAGAGGATTCAAAACCATCTTCATCATCAGTAGTTTTTTTCAATGTATTATACAAAGTAGTTTCATCCTCGGAATCACTATCTACAAGATCTAAAAATCTCTTTGACAATAATTGTTCAGTATTATTGTCTTCAATGCAGGATTTATCGCTATCTCTTAATTCGTAACTATTCTCTGATTTATCAAGATCGATTCCATTATCTGAATAATTTTTCTCACTATTATTAATCGATGTTGTTGTGGAAGTTTCATTATTTCCTAATTCTTTAGAATCATAACAATTGTTTTTTGGGAACATAGAATCACAATCTTGTAAGTTTGCCTCGTTCTTCCTATTATGTGTTTCATTATCTTCATTACATTTTGAAATATCTTTGGAAATGTTGGATTCATTAATGACTATGTGTTCTTCTTTGTTGAATTTTCCGTTACTTAATAAAACTTCCATCGTAGAAACACTGGAATTAAGTAATCTAATTAAAAACTTAATTATAAGGCTTAATTGAAATGTAATTATAACTTATTATTAAGCCTTATAATTAAGACTTATCTATTAAAAAAATATATATATATAAAATATATATATATATATAAAAAGAATAAAAAAAAAAAATAAGTAATTTTTGCTGTCATTAAAAATCTGGCATTTCTATGAAATAACGAAAAAATAAAATTAAAAAATTAATTAAAAAATAGTAAGCAGGATTATAAATGTAAAAAAATAGTATCTGTGTTTACATTTTCTTAGGCATGCAGGTGTAGAATTTATGAAAGTATTTTTGCTCACCTTATTATATAATTATAGCTAATATCACATGTGATTTATTGTCTTCTTCTTCTTCTTGTTCAGTTGAACCACATTTAGCACATTTTTTTGTCGGTACTTTTAATTGTTTTCGCAACTTTTCGCTTCTCTTATATGAGCAATTGCCGCCAATTTTGCTTCCATGACATATTTAAAGGTTTTTTGGTTAAGTTAGATTAATTGAAGTTAGGTTAGGTTAACTAAACTAATAGCGTTTTTTCACTAGGCAGAACCATAGACATGAGAGGTCTGTTTCCCTATTATCAGTTATACCAATTGCTTGGGAATTGTTTGGGCACATTTAAAAATAAATTCTCGTAGTTTATGAAATAATAGTTTATTTATTATTAAGGGTCGACAGGTCGTCCGGCCTGTTGAAGACCTCGCGCGGTGACAACGCGAAACTTCGATTTCAGTGTTGCCAAAGCTGAGAAACCAATTCTCGGGTTTTATGCAGTGGTGCATGTATATACACGTACATACACCATTGCATTGCTCACGCGGATGCACCGTAGAGAGACAAGGACCGATAATGACGTGTTCTCCTTGTTCCTCTACCGTGCCGGTATACGCGAGATGCGGCCTGAAAATGCTTTCTGGTTTCGATTCTGTAACATTTTCTAAAGTGAAAACGTGAAAAATGAAAAATTTCCGTCAATCGCACATCGATTTCATTTTAAAATCAATGCGTGATTGGCGAGAATTTTTCACTTTTCACATTTTCACTTTAAAAAAGTTACAGAATCGATACCCTGGCCTTTTGTAGCAGAAGGCAGTAGCGTAGCAAGGCTAATAAGCACCCACTTTTTGGAAATTGTATATATGCTTATGCACATATGTGTGTATATATGTGTATATATGTTGCGGATTAACCAATCAACTGACAAGTTACTTTACTTTAATTGGTCAATCGGCAATTGTCAACTAGCAACGAGGATATTTGCAACCTATTGTAGAATGGCTCTTATGCATATGCTTATGCGCTTATGCAAGAATGTGTACTCCCCGCTTAAGAATCTTGATTGGTCTATAAATGTATGCATAAGAAATTTAATCAATCGAATTTCTTAGAATGCCGTCACATGAGGCGTAACTTGCGTTAAGCGTAACCTGCGTATTCTAGTGTAATCTAGTGATTTAATAAAAGATACGCCGTGGTTACGTTATTCTGAGGGTGCGATTACATGGACGCGCGGAAACGCGGAAACGCGGAAACGCGGAAGAGAAAGTAACTAAACTTTACTAGAGTCCCGCATTTCCGCGCGTTCCGTTCCGTCTGTTTTGATTGCCTTATATTACATGGAGCACATTTTGAGCGGAAAAGCGGAACGGTATAGTGACAAATAGACATTTGTATTAATTTTTTAAATTTATATTTACTTAATTCATTGTAATTCCTTTTAATATGTTCATCTTTTCAACTTATCTATTGAATACAAGCATTTTAATCAATAAATATAGTTAAATATTAATATTTTATAATTCCCCGTTCCGCTTTTCCGCTCAAAATGTGCTCCATGTAATATAAGGCAATCAAAACAGACGGAACGGAACGCGCGGAAATGCGGGACTCTAGTAAAGTTTAGTTACTTTCTCTTCCGCGTTTCCGCGTTTCCGCGCGTCCATGTAATCGCACCCTGAAGGACGGCATTCACATAGAGCGTATTGCGCGGAACGTGTAACTAATACAACCAATCGTAGATTAGAGTTTCCGTTGTATGCTTTAACAGAAATGCTAAATAGGACTTGTGATTGGTTTTCGTAACCTACGCGTTCCGAATAATACGCTTTATGGGGAACTGATGCTTTGGGTTCCGTAAAACGCGCATATTTAAAATGGCTGGCAAAGTGACAAGATAAATGAATACCCGCATTTGTGCTGAAAAGATTCAAACATGCAATGTAGAAAATAATGCATTATGATGTTCATATTGCTCAAAATTCTCAAAAATTCATGCAGGGAAAACAAAAAATCAATATATGTTAAATATTAGAGAAAGAGAAAACAGGGTACCTATTACGGTTATTTGGGTGAGTTTGCTCACGAGATGAAAATCACAAAAATGAGAGATTCACTAGATTTTGACCAATAGAAGCGTAGACAACCTAGTGAATCTCTCACTTTTGTGATTTTCACCTCGTGAGCAAACTCACCCAAAGAACCGTAATAAGTGCCCTGATTTCAAATGCAAAAAGTACGAAGACCTACTAATATACAATTTAAACTTGAAATTTTGTATCACATGTCGTGAGCAGTAGACTGTTTTTAATCGAACGCTATTAAAGCTCATATAATAAATTAGATTTTTGTTAACTTACCCTTATTTGATTATTCTTGTTCATCTTATTAATGTATAGGTATGGATAAATTAAAATTAACTTCTTCTTTGTCTTCAGTCTTTGGCAGAAAAACGCACAAATGGAGTTGTGTTTTTTTTTTACAAATACGCATCAGCGTTTCTTCCGCCAGAAATTGAATTCGGCGTAACGATAATAGCGTACAAAGCATAAAATAACTAGACAAAAGCTGGGAGTCGATTGTGTAATTTTTTCTAAAGTGAAAATGTGAAAAGTGAAAAATTTCTTCCAATCACACATCGATTTCATTTTAAAATCAATGCGTGATTGGTGGAAATTTTTCAATTTTCACGTTTTCACTTTAGAAAAAGTTACACAATCGACCCCCTGATACTGAAATGAGACGATGTGATTGGTCGGCGTAAGTTACCGCAAATTACGCGTACGCAAGTTACGCCTCATGTGACGGCACCCTTATGCATATGCTTATGCGCTTATGCAAAAGTGTGCGCTTCTCGCTAAAGCGGGGGGGGGGGGGATCCGTAATTCCAGGCCGGCCGATAGGCGTCTCCACCAGGCCTCCTGCCGACCCTTAATGCATCAACAAAATATTACTTTAATAAAAGGATGGCATCAAGCCGCAATGAATAATGATTTCGCGTTATTTGATTCAAGCGAGAATATAATTGTTCAATATATATATATATATATATATATAATATAATATAAATATATAAATATAAATATAAATATATATATATATTTGTACACAAAATGCGTACAAATATACACATCCATTCGGAAACACTTTACACCCGAGAACACACTGTATCCTCTTCACTTCTCCATTGAAATCACGAAACCACACCGAGTGCGTATAGTTTCCGAAAGCAGCCTATATATATATATATATATATATATAATTAGATTTTACCATTGTCAACAGTCATACCCCGTTGAACACACCAGTTCTCGTCTGATCACTGAAGTTAAGCAACGTTGGGCATGGTTAGTACTTAGATGGGTGACCGCTTGGGAACACCATGTACCGTTGGCACCCCTTCTTTTTTCTTCTTTTTTTTGCTAATTCAAAATCTTAAAAGAAACATAAAACATTTTTTTATATATTATTTGTGATAAATCAATTTTATATATTATAAAAATTTTCCCTAGAAGTAAGAGTCTAGGGAATATTCTAATTTCTAGTTCAAAAGAAAATGGCATCCATAGTGAATTCAAAAAACAGTAAACAATAATGGAAATTGTCTTATCTTTTAATAAACAAAAATTTTTATAATATATAAAATTATATATATATACATATATTTATATAGACTGCTTTCGGAAACTATACGCACTTGGTGTGGTTTCGTGATTTCAATAGAGAAGTGAAGAGGATACAGTGTGTTCTCGGGTGTAAAGTGTTTCCGAATGGATGTGTATATTTGTACGCATTTTGTGTACAAATATATATATATATTTATGTAAATATTTATATATTATATATATTTATATTTATATTACATTATATATATATATTTATATATTGAACAATTATATTCTCGCTTGAATCAAATAATGCGAAATCATTATTCATTGCGGCTTGATGCCATCCTTTTATTAAAGTAATATTTTGTTGATGCATTAAGGGTCGGCAGAAGGCCTGGTAGAGACGCCTATCGGCCGGCCTGAAATTACGGATTTTTCCCTCCCTCCCGCTTTAGCGAGAAGCGCACACTTTTGCATAAGCGCATAAGCATATGCATAAGGGTGCCGTCACATGCAGCGTAACTTGCGTAAGCGTAACCTGCGTATTCTAGTAATTTTACACTGCGGCGTAAAATATTACTAGGATGCGCAGACTACGCTGTTTTATTACACCGATTCAAGAAACTGACGGAAGTGTATCGTGGTGCAGAGAGAGTGCATTATTCCACTAAAGTACCTCGTCAGTGATTATTCGCACAAAAAATTTGCCAATAAAAATGAATAAGAATCAAATCAGGGTAAGTTAAAAAGTAGCTTTATATCATATTTATTTTATAATACATAGTTGTAATGATTCTGTTATATCTGATGTACTGCTCAAGAAATGAAATTATAATCGTGAAATTCCATTTCCTTCACTAGGTTGTCACTGGCGCCTTGTAATAATCTTTGTCTTTCTATGAATGTAGAACGCACCCACATACGACGAACTTCTTTCTTTTAAGATAGTATTTTCCAGATTGCAAACAGTTTTAATAAGTTATTTTTTCTAATTTTCCACTGTTGAACTGTTTGCTTCTTTTTTCATCTCTGCCACCGTTTCCAACTAATAAATAATAATAAATCAGAATTCATGTATTCTGATCCCACAATCACTCATTAATATAAAAGATTTGTATTAGAATTTTAACTTTATATATTATTAATTATAACGTAATCAATATAAATATAAATTAGTTTTACCTTTTGTAATGACGAGTCTACCATGATATCACCGATAATCTTTTTACATAACCTCAAAAACACACGAGGTGTACTAGTGCAGATATACTACAAATATTACGCTTCACACATGTATCGGTTCCTCATGACGCGTACCTTTTCAGATGCGTAAATTACGAAAACCAATCACAAATTTGTTTTGCATTTCTGTTAGAATATCTAACAGAAACTCTAATCTGCGATTGGTTAAATTAGTTACGCTTTTTCACATTTACGTAAAATACGCCCTATGTGAATCCAGACTTTCAAAATGGCGTAACTTCTGTTAAAATTACTAGAATACGCAGGTTACGCTTACGCAAGTTACGCTGCATGTGACGGCACCCTTAGGCCAGATCTACAACAGGTGTAGTAAGCTCTAAGCTTTAAAAAATTCACCAATCACAGTCAAGAATGAGGAGAATAATTGACTGTGATTGATCAATTTCTTAAGGCTTAGAGCTTACTACATCTATTGTAGACCCGACCTTATCCTTGTTCCTCTATCGTGCTGGTATTCGCGAGATACGGCCTGAAAATGCTTTCTGGCCTTCCGTAGCAGAAGGCAGTAGCGTAGCAAGACTAATAAGCATCTACTTTTTGTAAATTTTATATATGCTTATGCACATATGTGTGTATATATGGGTGCATTCGTTTATGCAGTGACTGCCGCAGAATGCCGCAGATGTCGTTCGTTTACTCCACCTGCGCAACCGACTGCAGCGCAGTTTGTTGTTCGTTTAAGCAGAGCTGCTGCCTATCTGCGCAGCCATCTCGGAGGTCCTGCTCAGAATGCTCTGCTCGCAGTACTGCGGACTACGGACTACTGCGTAAACGAATGTAGTCTTCTCCATTGTTAAGTCAATTGAACTTGGAAACGTTGCCTGAAAATTATTTCAATTATGAGTTATGTTATAAAAGTTCAGAACAAAAAAGGTGGAGAACAACTCCTCCAAATAGATCCTACAAAACTAAAAGTAATGCAAGGTAAGTAATACAATAAAATTAGGAAGTCTGTTAATTTATATTTACGATCCAATTAACTTAAAAATGCACTTTTATCAAGAATATAAATTTAAAGTAATCTGTTTCAAAAAAATGTGCTTTGTATAAAGATGCAATTCTGTTACAGTCATTCCTAGCTATCAAGCTACTTCGTCCCCAGTTAGTTTGGAAAAATCTGAGAAGTCTACATTCAGCAACATTTCAATCCTACCGTCATCACTGTCTGAAAATGTTATGTGCACACGTCATGTCAGAACCTTTAACCTATTTAAAAATTTTATTATATTTATTCAAATAATAATTCATATTTAATATAAATATGATGGTTTCTAAATCGGCCTAAGAGCCATAGCACGAAAAATTACGAAAATTAATTAAGTGCAAGTTATTCTTATCATTGTTTATTCGCGTCTGGGCCCAATTACGACGCTTTGGGGGGGGGGGGGTTGAAAGCATTGAGAAAAGTATTGTTTTGTGAGTATCTGAATAGCTCAGTTGGAAAAGCATTCGCCCGGCAAGCGGAAGGTCTCGAGTTCGATTCCCAATTTAGCCAACTTTCGGACCAATATTTTTCTCGCCTATTTCTTACAGGAAAATTTATAATAGAAACAAGGAGTTTTTGAGATCCCAACCACAGGATACGAAATTTCCAGTTTCCTCAATTTTCTTACTTAATTTCGCAATAAGATCGCGTTTGGCTCTATGGCCGGGAAGAAGGAGGTGTATATCGTGTTTTATATTTAATGATTTATGATAATCAATATTTTATTATATTTAATATTCTATTAAACAAAACAGATATTGATTATAATATTATTGAACTTATTTTTCAGATACTGATAACAAGAAAACAAAACAACAAAATGTGAAACATTTATTTAAGCAGCACATTTTAAACTGCTTTTTTTCATGCAATAAAATAATATTTACAAACATTATTATTGAATATAATTTCTTTTATCATTTTTATATATAAAATTGGCATAATTTAGAAAAATGTTTAAAAAAGTACCTTAAAATTACTTTGCATTAATAAAAACGCATCATAATTCTGTGATTTTCCTTAGATTCCTTTCAATCTCTCAGTCTTTTCTTCCAAATCTTATCATTTGACAAAAAATTTCTTGTCGATTAAATTCCTGTAAAAATTGCACCATGATAAAAATTATAGAATCGCGTCAATTGCTCATTTTTAACATTTTCATTACATTTTAATTACAGAATCCAGCTTTAATGTTGAACACTAGTTGAATATGTGCATAAAGCACTCAATTTTGGAATTTCAAAATTTTAAAAGTTCCAGGTTGTTCTAGATTTGAACTAAATTATTCCAGAAGATGAAATTTGTATAATAAAAATTTTCACAGAAAATCAAAAAATTAATTTTTTGACCTGGCACCCAATTTCCTGAAAAATTGACATATCTTGAGACTTGTAATCTTCTTGAATATATGCATTCAATTACATTTTGTAATACATAATTTTTAAATTCATGAAAATATACATTTTGAAAAGGAATATTACACTATTTTAGTTCACACAATTTTCTTTTGCTGCTTCAAATTATTTACAAGTTCCTTCAGCCTAGTTACACGAACGGCCAATCTGTTCCGAGATTGCTGTAAAGTTTTAATCTTTCTTCGTTGCTTTGCGATGGTTCGTTTTGCCACTTGCAAGGCTATGTCAGCTTTTACAGGTGTATCAAGATGCGACATTGTAATGTCACCAACATAACGAGGAAAATGTATAGTCTTAACAGGACGTCGGAAGCATGGATTATCTTCAAAACTCGGCGGTGTAGATGGTCTCTCTTCTGTTGCGGAAATTTTTATTATAAGTTTTATACAAATATATTAACTTATAAATAGATTTTATATATATATAATTAATATATAATTTATAAAAAAAAATTAAATATATTATATATTAAATATATAATAATATATATATAACTTATAAAATATATATTATATATTATATTAATTTCATTCATCAAAGAAATGCAAATACAGTAATTTTTTACCTTTGAATTCCATGGAATCTTCGTCAACAGACACAAATTCGAAGCTTTCCGCAGTCTTGACGTCTACAATGTTCAAACTTTTGTCATCAGCTTCATTGTACCAGCCCGTGTCTTTCAGTTCTTCCAGATTACGGTCCTTGCATATATTTAAATTCTTGACGTCTACAATGTCCAAACTTTTGTCATCAGCTTCATTGTACCGACCTGTGTCTTTCAGTTCTTCCAGATTACGGTCCTTGCATATATTTAAAATCAAACTTTGACGCAATTTCTTCTTCTTGCTAATAATAGATGGCACAACGTTGGGTTTTGCCATTGTACCCTTAGATTTGTTAATTATATCTTCTTTTTGGAAATGATCTGAACACAGTTTAGTAGAAGATGTTAAAACTTGTTTATCAATGCCACAAAAATCTAGCCACTTCCTACAAGAATCCTCATTTTTCGGAAATCTATTGATAAATGAAAATAATATAATATATAATATATATATATATATATATATATATATATATTATAAATTATATGTTAATATATGTAAAATCTGTAATATATATATTAATATATTTATATAAATTAACAAATATATAAATAAATAATAAATATTAATAATAAATAAATATTAACAGATATACAAATCAATAAATTTGTGTGAAATATGACCAAATATTGTACAAAAAATTAATTTAAATCTTTCCACATTTATTGTGTATACAAAATATATTACATATATAATATACTTACGTAAAATAGGAGACTGATTTATCTCGGTTACCGCACAAGAGGCAATATCGCATCTTTTTGTATTATTCTGTATCTAAATTGTGTCAAATAAATTGTTTATTCTATAAATGAATTATTGAAGTTGACATCAAATTCAAGTAGGGTTGGATAATAACTAGTTATTTAGTTAAAAGTTAAAAAGTTAACAACTTTTAACTTAGCTTAGTTAAAATATATTAATTTTTAACTTCAACTAGTTATTTTTTACCTTAATCTTGTTTTCATCTCTAAATACATTATTGTTTTTTAAAAGTTATAAAAACGTATAATTTTTAAATTAAGGTTACTAATTTTTGTTTATTTGTCATCAATTATAATTAAAATATACTTCTATATAAGAATCAAAATATTTTTGTTATTTATTATTATAAATTTCAAAAGAATTAACAAAATTCTAATTTAATATAAATAATGTTTTTAAAAACTAACTTTTGACTTAACTTCAATTAATTTAATCTTTAACTCAGTTAATTTTTTGTTCATGCAACTTTTAACTAAATTAATTTTATAAGCATCTGTAACTTTAACTTAGTTTAAAAAAAAACATTAACTCATTCAACCCTGAATTCAAGTAACACATAACAATCTCTTGTGATCATGGAAAAACTACAAAAACCATGAAAACAACAGATCTGTTCTCAACTGAACTAGCTGCACTAATTTAGAGTTCATCTTTTTCCTTCCGATGTAGAGAAAAAGAGATAAACTGTGAACTGGTACAGCTAGTTCAACCAAAAAGATCAAAACTTAAAATATGGCCGATGTGCACATACGAAAATTGTGTTGTAAATGTGACAGTAGAAAATGTTGATATATGATGGGGGTAACTTGTTGCATAAAAAATTGCAAAAGTACGTGGGGAAAGGATTGTAAAATAAACTTTTATAGGTAAGTATAATCAAAATAAGTTTTGTTATAGAAAAAAATTGGAACGTGATTTTTAATAAAAAATTAAAATTGCAGTTTCAAAACTTATAAATATACATATAGTATTTTTATTAATTATTATATCTTGTATAATGTATATATAGAAAAAAGGGTATATATATATATAAAAAGAGTCACAGAACTTGCAACCTATTATTTGCTCTTTTTATTATTTCTATTAATTTTTATTTTTGAAAAAATTATGATTTAATCAACTGTAGCGAAAACTAAAATTAAAATATTTTCTTTAGATTTCCACTTCAAAATAAAGCAACAATGAAATCTGGGATTGCAGCTACAGGATGCAATAACTGGTTTCCATATTCAGATGCACGAATATGTAATTTACATTTTAAAGATACAGATTATTCTAATAATACAGAGCACACTAAACTAAGACGTCTTAAACCTAATATTATTCCAACACTGCATGTACATGCAAATATTTTGCAAGTTTTTAAACAAAATACAAATACATTTCCAATATTCCAGCAAAACAATAAAATACATACAGTCAAAAATGTAATTAAAATTAAACAAATCAAATATAGTAGGCCATCTGAACGAGCAAATAAATAAGGTGTAAAAATTTATTAATAGTTAAATAATTAAATTAACATTCCGTTACAGAATCGATATAAATTGTAAACGTTTCGACTGCACTACAGTCTTTATCAATACATAAAAGTTAAATATTAAAATACAAAGTTAAATGTTAAAAAAACAAAGTTAGTTAAATATTAAAATATAAAATTAAAACGATTCTTCGCTGTTGACCAATAGATATGCAAGGCGATTGGTCTGAGATGCCAAGTTATGCGACATTTAAACATGATTATCGTTTTAACAAGTCCTTTTTCCCGATATTTCAAGTGTGTGTTGCGAAGTCTGAATAACAAATGTCCTGACATTTGTTATTCAGACTTCGCAACACACACTTGAAATATCGGGAAAAAGGACTTGTTAAAACGATAATCATGTTTAAATGTCGCATAACTTGGCATCTCAGACCAATCGCCTTGCATATCTATTGGTCAACAGCGAAGAATCGTTTTAATTTTATATTTTAATATTTAACTAACTTTGTATTTTAATATTTAACTTTTATGTATTGATAAAGACTGTAGTGCAGTCGAAACGTTTACAATTTATATCGATTCTGTAACGGAATGTTAATTTAATTATTTAACTATTAATAAATTTTTACACCTTATTTATTTGCTCGTTCAGTTGGCCTACTATATTTGATTTGTTTAATTTTGTTAATTTATACGAGCCTTTCATTAATTAATTGTAATTAAAATTATTTATTGGATTGTATTTAATATAATTAATACAATATATATATATATGTCCTTGCAAAAAATAAGTCATTTATTACAGGTGCTCGAAATAATATCATTATTTTTAAAGGAGACAAATCAATAAATAAAGGAGATATAAGTAAGTAAAATGTATACAGTAATATATCTATTAGGATTTGCATATTAAATAAATCATAATCATCACAAGGTATTGTAATGAATAGAAAATTTGAATTAAATTATTATATCTTATACAGGGTGTCAAGTAAGAAATTGCAGGAACTAATCAGCTGTTATTTTTTAATTTATGCAGCTATTGAGAAAACAAAAATTGTGTTGGAAAAGGAAAGTCCACAGTTTTTAATGGATATAAATAAAATGTTTGTATATCAGTTTATTTTATTGATAAAAAGTAATGAAAAAGTGCTAATAATCACATAAATTAATGATAAATATTTTCAACAGTGCCAAAATATTTAATAGCAGCTATTAAAAGGATCAGCAATAACATTAAAAATGACATATTAGAAAATGTTTTTATGAGTTTTCATAAAAGAACAGAATTTTGTACAAATTCAAATGGTGTGCACTTTGAAAATATGTCATTAGTTTATGTGATTTTATGTAATTATCAGAATTTTTTCATTACTTTTTATCAAAATAAAATAAACTAGTATACAAACATTTTATTTATATCCATTAAAAACTGCAGACTTTCCTCTTTCTAACACAATTTTTGTTTTCTCAATAACTGTGTGCATTCAAAAATGACAGCTGTGTAGTTTCAGCAATATATAATTATTACACAAAATAATAAAAGCATTTATTATAGATGATCAAAGTAATACTGTTGTTCAAAATCAAGGAAATTTAATAGTGAAAATAACAATGAAATTGCTTCAGCGAATGGATGTGTGAAATGTATGTGTTGTTTTCAACAAAATAAAAGAATTAAATATTTATATACAATTAAGTATGTACTTTATAAGTGAAGAATCTATAAAATATTGTAGGTTCCAAATATGCAAAATATGATGCGTTGTTAGAAGAAAATCAACAATTAAAGAAGAGAATAAATGAATTTAACAAATCATAAGAACGATTAAATCAGCAGGCAAGCATGTTTTGTGAGCTCATGAATACAAAAGAAGCTATGTTAAAGAAGAAATTAAAAATGGTCAGAAAGAAAAATAGAACCTTAAATAGAAATATACGACAAAAGAAAAAAATATGTATTTAAAAACATTACTTACATACTTCCATCGCCAGCAGTTTAGTAGAAGAAAATAATTCATCTATTTGTAAAAATCATCTATTTACGAGGCCTTTGAAACTTTCTTTAAGTGCAAGAATTAAAATATAAGATACGTATATATTATTTATATTTTTTTATTGAAAAAAATGATTTTGCATACATGATATTGCTTCAATCTAGTATAATATATAGATGTCGATAAGAGAGAAATAGATATTAACTAATTATTAAGAAATGTGTGAATTTTATTAAGAAATATGTAAAACTAGTTGTCGTAACTGCTGATGATTTACAAATATTAAATATAAGTAATTTAAAAATTAAGATTTAATTAAATCTGCATACAATAAATAATAAAATTTATTAATGTTTAAAATGTATTAACTTAGAAAACTAATGTCGAATGTTATTATTTTGTATGATTCATTGTGTAGACTCAAAATATTACATATACTTACTTACGTATAACCCATTTATCTCGGTTATCGTACAACACAGAATTTATTTTTTTAATCAATTAACTTCATTAAATTTTATTCTATATTCTTTATTTTATTTAATTTTATTTACTTTATATTTTGAGAGAGAGAGAGCTTCTATATGCTGCCTGTGGGTTACCTCAATCTAAAGCGGGTCTACAATGGCAGCAGGAGTACAGAGTACAAGAGTAAGTAGTAAGCAGTACGAAATGGGAATGGCTCATTCCGTACTCCAAATGAGCGAATCCATTTCGTATTGCTTACTGGGCGTCGATTGTGTACTTTTCTAAAGTGAAAGTTTTTCACTTCACTTTTCACTTTAGAAAAATTACACAATTGACCCCTGCTTACTCTGGTCCTCACTCCGCTGCCATTGTTAGACCCCGCTTAAGGGTCGACAGGTCGGTCAGCCAAACTCCGAATTGATGTTGGAGACCTCGCGCGGTGACAACGCGAAACTCCGATTTCAGTGTTGCCAACGCCGAGAAACCAATTCTCAGGTTTTATGTAGTGGTGCATGTCTGTACACGTACATACACCATTGCATTGCTCACGCGAACGCACCGTAGAGAGACAAGGACCGATAATCACGTGTTCTCCTTGTTCCTCTACCGTGCCGGTATACGCGAGATGCCGCCTGAAAATGGGCCTTCCGTAGCAGAAGGCAGTAGCGTAGCAAGGCTAATAAGTACCTACTTTTTGTAAATTTTATATATGCTTATGCACATATGTGCGTATATATATATATATATATATATATATATATATATATATATATATATATATATTATATAAGGAATATGTTGATTATTCTTGATTTCTTTTTGATTATTGATGCTATTGTATAATTTGCTCCAAATACTTATAACGTGAAAGAACGTTGAGTAATGTATAATCAATGCAAGGATGTTCAGTATATATCATCCAGTAAATTAGAGTTCAAATATATCAATATTAATTTTTTATATATATATATATATATATATATATATATATAATATATATATATATTGGAATATAGAAATTGATAAAGATATATTTCGGCGATTTAAAATTTTTTAATATATTGAAAATATTTTTACTACATACACTATATATAAGTGTAAAATAATTCAGAAAATAAATTTAATAAAAATCTACATACCAGCTGTGTGCATGTGTGCAATTGATTTATTACTTGAAATTTATTTACGAAATTATTTTGCATTTATATTTTATAGTGTGTGTAGTTGTAAAATAATTAAAATATTTTCAATATCAAATTTTTAAGTTTATCGCCTATATAAAAAATATATTTCTATGATTTTCTATATTTCAATATATTATAAAAAATTGATATTAATATATTTGAACTCAAGTTTTTTACGTGATTAAATATTCTTGCATTGAGCCATCATACGTTACTCGTAAGTTTTTTCACGTCATAAGTACTTATGTAGCAGAGAGAAAGAAATGAGAGTTATACGCAATGTAACATCAATAATCGGAAAAAATCAAGATAACGGTTGTCATATCTGTGTATATATATATATATATATATATATATATATATATATATATAATATATATATATATATATATATATATATAATATTTCATTTTTTATAATACATTTTCAATTCATATTAAACCTGAGTGATATTTTCTATATGCTTATGCTATCCTCCGATCTATCCCTAACAAATTAAGAGTGTAATTGCATTATTATCATCAATTATTATCTTATACTTTTTACCTCTAATTTCTATAAAATTTAATTCATTATCATTTTATCCTTTAAATCAATATTTATTTTGAATTTTCATTAATATTTTTATTCTATTAACATGAGCAGGAGCTCAACCTATTGAAATACCTTTTATCATTATTAGACAAATTTTATCATTATGTTACTTTCTTTATTTTATCTTATTACCTTTCCTAATAAAAATTTGAGATTTAATTATTTTTAAATAAATATTAAAAATTTATCATTATAAATAAATTTAAAATATTAAAAATAATTATATTTAATACTTAATTTTTTATAAATTACTATTAAATTAAGGTAATGATCTTGAATTTAAGTTTATGTTTTGAAAACATATTAAAGAAATTTTAATTTTTTATTAACTTTTAAACATTTATTTTTTTTACTAAATTATTATTTATAATATAAATTTAAATCCAAAAATTAATAAAATATAAACTAAAATTATTGGTAAAATAATTTTCCAACATAAATATATTAATTCATCATATCGTATTCGAGGAAGTATTCCATGTATAAAAATTACTATTCTACATAAAATATTAATTAAAATAAAAGTTAAAATTATTGAATATTTTAATAAATTTCTAAATATATAAATTCTAATTAATCTAAAAAAATAATTATTCGATATTCAGATAAAAAATTAATGTAAACCCACCCCTAAAATATTCAATATTAAACCCTGAAACTAATTCTGACTCACCTTCGATAAAATCTATAGGACTTCGATTTAATTCAGCTAAAATCCTAATAAAAAATATAATAAACAAAGGATATAAAACTACTATATATCATAAATAAAATTGATAATTAATAAAATCAAAAAAAGAATATCTCTCTCTTATTAATATAATAACTAAAACAATTAAATAAATCTTACTTTAAATGATAATATTTGTGAAACTGATCGTATTGCCCCTATTTTTGAATAAATCGAATTAGCTGATCATCCCATAAAAATTATAACATACCCTCTAATAGTTATAAAACAATTATTAATAAAATAAAATAAGAATAATTTAAAATAAATATTAGTAATGTAAGGAAATACTACATATTATTATTAAAACAAATCTAATTATAGGACATAAAAAAATTATAATTAGATTTATATACATAAAATAATTCTTTATTAAGTAATTTAATAGCATCACTAAAAGATTGAAATAATCTTATAAATCCCACCTTATTAGGTTCTTTACGAATTTGTACATATCTTAAAATTTTCGTTCCAATAAAGTTAAAAAAGCTACCCCAACTAATATAATTAATAACAAAATAACAATCTTAATATATTTAACGCACTATAAAATATAATCTTAAATTTTGACAAATTATTACTTGTATAATTTTTTTCTATTATACATCATTTAAATTCTAAATTTAATACACTTAAATTCTGCCAAAGTAATTTTATTTATTTACATATATTTAATCAATTAAATTTATTCATTAAAAAAAATATAATTTGAAAAAAAGTCCTTTCGTACAAAATTTTCTTAATTTTATTATAGATAGAAACCGATCTGGCTTACACCGATCTGAACTCAAATCATGTAAAATTTTATTAGTCGAACAGACTAAAATATTAAACTTCTTCATTTAATTTTTATTTTAATTCAACATCAAGGTCGCAATCATTTTTATTAATATAATCTTTCTAAAAATATTACGCTGTTATCCCTAAGGTAATTAATTTTTATAATAATTATTATAAAAAAAAAAAAATTTCTTAATTTAATAATCAATCCTTTATAAAAATTTCATTAATTAATGTTAAAATTATCTTTAAATTAAAGTTTATTTTATTTAATTATCCTCCCAATAAATATAATCATTAAAATAAAATTTATTTCCTTAAATAAATTTAAAAATTATATTAAATTCAATAGGGTTTCTCATCCCATAATTTCTTTTAAGAATTTTAACTTAAAATTTAAATTTTAAATCTACAAATTGAAACAGCTTTTAATTTCATCAATTCCTTCATTCCAGTTTTCATTTAAAAACAATTGATTATGCTACCTTTGCACAGTCAATATACTGCGGCTATTTAAAAATCACTGAGCAGAAATAATTTTAAATTATCAAAAAACCATGTTTTTGTTAAACAAGTAAATTAAAATTTTAATTTAATAAAATAAATTTGCCTAATTCTTTAATTATATATACATATATATTTTAAATTTAAAAATTTCTATATAATTAATATAATATACTTATACTATCATTATTTATTAAAATACTTAATTTATTTAAAATATTTTTTTATTTAATTAATCAAATTTTCAATTATTATTATATTTAAATTAGAATATCCATTCCATAATAAATTATTAATTTTTATAAAAAATTTTTAAAATAAAAATATTTTTCTATTTAAAATCATTTATATTCATAAAATATTTTAATTATAATTTATAGTTATTCCATAAATTTTTTACATAAATTTACTAATTAATTTTATTATTAATTTAATTAATTGTAAATGATTTATATATAAATTAAATTTATATAAAAAAACTAGATATCATAAAATGGATTAAAATATCTTTTTCAAATAAATATTTAAATAATTTTTATACATTAACTTTAATATTTTATTTAACTCATTTTATTCCGAGAATTTAAATTATTCCAATAAACACAAAATTTAATAATCCCTGATACAAAAGGTACAATTAATAAATTTATTTTTATTTAATTAATTAATTTATTTTAAATTTTCATTTACATTACTTTATCTATAATATTTATTTATTTTTTTTAATACTTCAACAATTCAAAAACTAACTCTATTTAATTTTTTATTATAATTTTATTTAATTAAAATAATCACACACACAAATC